TATTTACTTGTCCATAAGTATTGAACTACCCCAGTAATACTTTCTCAAATTTGGTATGGACTTACTTTGGCCGTTAGATTCATTGACCTATCAGGCGGAATGGAAATACAGGTTCAGCTTCAGAAAAAGTCTCACAGTCTCTATAACAGAGATACAGGGTGAATTATCGGTTTGGAATAATTATATACTCGTCCATAAGTATTGAACTACACAGTAATATTTCCTCAAATTTGGTAGGGAGCCTACTTGAGACGTTGGATTCATTGACTCATCGGGCGGAATGGAAATACAGGATAGGCTTCAGGAAAAATTTACATTCATTCGAAATATAAAAAAACACACTGTATTTAATAACTACTAACAAAGTTCATCATAAGAATAATCGTGGTCAGGAGAAAAAACTGAAATGAATTTGATACTTCTAGCAATATTCAACTAGAAGATATCAAATAATTATAATTGGATAATTCACCCTGTATCTCCGTTATCAATATTGTGAGACTTTTCCTGAAGCTGAACCTGTATTTTCATTCCGCCTGATAAGTCAATGAATCCAACTTCCCAAGTAAGGTCCATACCAAATTTTGAGAAAATAATACTGGGTAGTTCAATACTTATGTACATGTGAATAATTATTCGAAACTGATAATTCACCCTGTATCTCGGTTATAAAGACTGTGATACTTAGTAGTAAGTCATTTCGAGCGATCATTTGACTAAAATATATCAAATAATTAAAACTGAATTTATAATTTTAATACTTTTCAAATTGACATACTTTCAACTTTCTGTTTATGATTGTTACGATGAGAATTGGTGGCGGGAAACTGAAAAGCATCAAATCCAATTCAGTTTTTCCTCCTCTTCACGATTCCTTTGATGAATTCTGATAATTATTACATACAGTGTGTTAATTTAATATTTCGAATAAATGTAGATTTTTCCTGAAGCCGAACCTGGACTTTCATTACGCCCGATAGGTGAACAAATTCTACGTCCCAAGTATTAGCTCCATACCAAATTGGAGGAAAATATACTGGGTAATTCGATACTTATAAACGAATGAATAATCATTCGAAATCGATAAATCGCCCTGTATCTCCGTTATGAAGATTCTGAGACCTATCAAATATCGTATTTTCAGAACCAACTTGGTGACCCCTATGTACCATTGGGATATTTCCCTTTACCTGTGAAACACCCTGTATATGCCAGATATAATCATAGAAAGTTGTGCGGAAGAGTGAAAAATTATGTGAAATATGGTATATCCCCAGAAACTAACCAAACATGTTTCCTCATGAAATTCTGAAAAGATATATTGTATAAATGTATACAAAAATTCTTGAATCCAGTGAGGTTGTGCCAAGCTTCAGTCAGGGTGCTAGGGAAAAACATGTAAAATTCAATATTTTCTTGGTAACTAGGACATGTCATTCCTTCTTGAAATTTCAACAAAGTATTTATAAAGATGCAAGAAAGAATCATCTAATCATGAAAGGGTGTGACAAGTGATAGTCAGTTACTAGAGCGAAAATACATGAAAACTTTTATGTTTTCTTGGACCAGTGTGAAGCTAGCAGCCATTTCCTTGTGGCCAGTTTTCACCTAGCAGCGTGGCTTGGGATTTAAAAAAATATATGTTTTGATTCACCTTTATCATGGAGAGAGGATATTTAATGAAAAATACTTGTTTCTGTGCTTGAGAAATGATGTACAGAGATGCTTCAGAGTAATTTAGACTAACTCAGAAATCATGAGCCTACCTAAGTAATTCCACATTCAAAAATGTTAAGCCATGTTGTAATTCAGTACCAGCTTTACTAAAACGCTGTAGAATGATGTGTGAGAAGATGATTGATGAGCAGGCCCTCAAAGGGGTAGATGACCCCTCAAAATATCAAAACAATCATAATATACCTTCAAAAATGTTCAGCCAAGTTGAAATTCAGAACAAGCATTACTGAAGAGCCCTAGAAGGATGTGTGTGAAAATGATTGATTGGCAGGCACTGTTATCACCCCTCAAAATATCAAAAAAATCATCATATACCTTCAGAAATGTGTAGCCAAGTTGAAATTCGGTACAAGCATTACTAAAGAGCTCTAGAATGATGTCCGCGACGATGATTGATTGGCAGGCCGTCTAAGGGGTAGTTATCACCCCTCGCCAGATAAAAAAACATAATTTTTCTTCATAAATGTTTAGCCAAGTTGCAATTCAGTTTGAGCATTACTAAAGAGCTTTAGAATGATGTGTCCCAAGATGATTGATCGGCAGGCCGTCTAGGGGGTAGTCATTATCACCCCTCAAAAGATTAAAAAAATCATTATTAATTGATGCTTTTACCCAATTTCAACTTTGTTAAACATATTTGAAGGTATATTATGATTTTTTCAATCTTTTGAGGGGTGATAACTACCCCTTAGACGGCCTGTCAATCAATCATCATGGCACACATCATTCTAGGGCTCTTTAGTAATGCTTTTACCGAATTTCAACTTGGCTAAACATTTTTGAAGGTATTTTATGATTTTTTTTTATCTCTTGAGGGGTGATAACTACCCCATGGACGGCCTGCCAATCAATCATCTTCGCACACATCATTCTGAGGCTCTTTAGTAATGCTTGTACCGAATTTCAACTTGGCTGAATATTTTTGAACATTAATGTTTAGCCAAGTTGAAATTCGGTATAAGCATTACTAAAGAGCTCTAGAATGATGTGTCCCAAGATGATTGATTGGCAGGCCGTCTAAGGGGAAGTTATCATGCCTCAAGAGATTAAAAAAATCATAATATACCTTCAAAAAAGTTTAGCCAAGTTGAAATTTGGTACAAGCATTACTAAAAAACCCTTGAATGATGTGTGCGGCGATGATTGATTGGCAGGCCGTCTAAGGGGTAGTCATTATCACCCCTCAAAAGATAAAAGAAATCTTTATTCTTTTAATGCTTTTACCGAATTTCAACTTCGTCTCATTGGTTACTCCAAACTATACTGAATGTTGATTGGTCAGAGTTGCATGGGCGGTCTTCTGTGTGATAAGAATCTTCTAGCCTGCGCTAGGCAGTGCGGTACGGGCTAGGTTGCCGTCATTAGTTCAACTTGAAATTCAGAAAATTATTATTTCAATCATAGTGGTTTGTGTTCAGGAGGCCTTTTCAGGAAGTCAACGCAAAGGGTAATTTTGAATATCTATTCGCGTCTCAAGAACGAGAATCATGATTCTCCAGAAAACCAACTTGTGAAGAGAATACAAGAATTAACTAAAATAAGCTATACCCACCATATACACAGTTATTGCCACATTTCAGGGATAAGTTGAATGAATACGCGGATTATGATTACAAATCGTTAAGTACGTTGTGAAATGTTTTACTAGATTGCGAGTTCAGTCATAAGAAATTAGACAAAAAGATGGTGATTATGGAATCAAGACCCATCGTAGACCATCGGCAAGAATATCTACGTAAAATAAAATAACGAAATACCGTGAAGCAAATAGACCTATAATCTAGATGAAACGTGGTTCGACACTCATGACGTTGTTCAATACGGTTGGGTAGATGATAGCAAAAACTGTTATGTGAGTGGTCCGAGTTCGAGAGGCAAAAGAATTATAATCCTTCACGCCGGCAATGAAAATTGATTTGTTGACAATGCATTGTTTTTGTCTGTCAAAAATATCAAGCAATCCTCTGTCGATTATCACGAGTGAGATGTTTATAAGCATCTCAATCACGAGGATACGACGGCAGAATTATTTGAGAAATGGGCAGAGCAGGAGCTTATACCAAATATTCCAAAGAATCCAGCAATCGATATGGATGATGCGTCATACCATTCACGTCAACAAACGAAAATACCGAGCACCAACACAAAAAAGGCTGACATTATTCAATCTATGGAGAAAAAAGGCATGGAAATTTCTGCTAAAAAACTGAAGAAAGAATTACTGGAAATGATCAGGAAACAAAAATTTCACGGAGGAATATGTAGTTGATGAACTCTGGAGCACGTTTGCCCCCATATTACATATTTTAACTAACTGCTATCAAAAGCAGAGTACGTGAAAATCACCAATCACCGCAATTTAGCGAGTCAGTTTTAACCATCATCGGGACAGTATCCAATGATCATTAGGGTAAATGAAGTCATGAAGAGTCCGATAGTGACTAGTGATATATCATCTAGTATTTGTGTATAACAGTTACGAAAACGAATAAGTGGTGTGTTGTGAATCATATTGTGATCATCATAACCAAAGTGTGAAGTTTAGGAAAGTTGACATGTGTAGTGAAATTGTGTAAAGTGTAAGAAAGTGATAAGACATGTAAATTGAAACTGTGGAACATCCTCACCAGTTACAATAACACTGTTTTGCTCTTCAATTTCATGGTGATTGTCAACATCATATGGATAATGTATGTTTATGTCATCTAGGCTGTTTCCAATATTTGTATTAATTTCATTTACTTTTCTAAGATGTTTTCTATTTCTTCTGACTATAGTGTTTGTTTTAGAAATGTTTACTAGGTATGACCTGGGCGTGTCAAGTACATCAAAAGTATTATTCTTTTTACCAACTTTGACTGAGATTGACCAAGATTCTCAGTGCAGCTCAATAGCTCAGTTGTATAACATGTTTCATTTAGCTTAGACAATGATGCATAAATTGGCCCTAAGTCTGATGTGAGTTGTCTCAAGAACTTTGAGACTATTTCTTTCCCCTCACCCCAACTGAGCTTGCTATTCATCTGGTGTTGTAGTGAGAAAAAGGTGAGACAAGATTAATTCTAGTAATTCTGAGGTTCTGTGCTGAAAATTGTGAGGTTATATTTTCATTTTGTCGAATTTTCAGCTTTGAAGTTACAGTCCACAGGTTAAATCCTTTGAATACTCACTACAATAATATTTCTATGCTCTTCATTAATTTCCTTGGTCATTTTACATTTTGGTTGATTTATGTTAGGTTATGTTTTCTTCCCTTGCCCTTCCTGACAGATGAAAGTATGTTCTTTTTATCCAATCGACAACTCTGATCCATCTCACCTCCTTCTAACTCAATTGATCTCAGTAGTGAGAAGGTAACAAGGTAAAAAGAATATTGCTTATTATTGTTCCATCTAACCATTCTTCCTCTTCAAAATTTTTAACTTTGACTTTTTCTCCCTTTTTTAATTCACATAGTTCTCTTGTACCTTTGTCATAGTATTTTTTCTCAAGATTTTGTTTACGGAGAAATTGTTCCCGAATATATTTACCTTGAACTAATTTTGGTTTTAAGATTGTTTCTTTCACAGGGATTATACTTCTTAATTTCCTGCTATCTAATAGTTGTGCTGGAGATGGAATGTTATTCGAAATTGGTGTGTTTCTGAATTCTAACATGCACAAATATGGATCAGATTTATCTTAACTGGATTTGAACAGTATGTTTTTTATGGTTTGTAAAGTACGTTCTACTTGTCCATTTGATTGTGGATATCTGGGACTTGAAGTTATATGCTGAAAATTCCATTCCTTTGTAAAATCTTTGAAGGCCTCTGAATCAAATTGTGGACCATTGTCACTAATAAGTATCTTTGGAATTCCCTGTCTACTGAAAATTTGTTTGAGATGGTCAATTATAGACTTACTAGTGGTCGAAAGGAGCAATGAAATTTCCACAAATTTTGAAAAGTAGTCAATTACTAAAAAATATGAACGTTGTTCAAAATGAAATAGATCAACACCAACTTTAGTCCAAGGTAAGTATTCAGTTGAGTGTGGGACTAAAGGTTCTTTGTTATTATCTTTCTTAAATGAGTTACAAGTATCACAATTACTAATTAAATTATCAATATCATTTGACATGTTCGGCCAGAAGACTATTTCTTTAGCTGCAAGTTTTGTTTTTTCTTTGCCTAGATGACATAAATGGATATGTTTCAATACATCTTTCCTCATGCTCTTTGGCATTAGAATTCTGTCATTTTTGTATATTAATCTTCGAAAGTATGTTAGTTCATCTCTAAAAGACCAGTATATTTTGTATTCATCTGCTAGTTTTTCTTTGTTGTGAGGAAAACCTTCAATGATAATTTTTATGAGATTTGTTAACTGTGTATCATTGCAACTTCTTTTTGATAACTTCTCAATTTATAATCAGATATTGGTAAATTTTTTACCACCATAAAAAGCTGAGAGTCGATTTCTTTACATTCATTTTCAAAACATTCCTTCAATGATAATTTTTATGAGATTTGTTGAGTGTGTATCATTTGCAACTTCTCTTTGATAACTTCTCAATTTATAATCAGATATTGGTAAATTTTTTACCACCATAAACAGCTGAGAGTCGATTTCTTTACATTCATTTTCAAAACATTCATCAAATGTGTTCAAATAAGCCCTGGACATTGCATCTGCTAACACGAGATCTTTTCCTTTTCTGTAAGTCAATTCAAAATTGTTGCACTGAATCATTAATAGCATTCTTTGTAATCTTGATGGTGTTTGAACTAATGGTGTTTTAAAAATAGCTACTAGAGGTTTGTGATCAGTCTCTACTGTTACTCTATTATGTGCAAATATGTACTGATGAAATTTTTTACATGCGAAAGTTATGGCAAGCATTTCCTTTTCAATTTGAGCATAGCCTATTTGTGTATTTGTGAATGCTTTAGAAGCATATGCAACAGGTGCATCATTTTGAAGCAAAACTGCATCACAACCGCTTTGGGAAGCATCACAAGAGATAACAATTGGCAAATCTTTGTTGAAATATTGCAAAACTGGTGCTTTGGTTAAAAGATCTTTGAGCACATCAAATGACTGTCGTTGTTCACTTTCCCAATGCCAGTGGATATCTTTCCTGAGCAGAATTCTCAGGTTTTTTGTAATATCTGCAAAATTTGGAATGTATCTGTTTACATAATTAACTATGTCAAGGAATCTCTCTAGTTCTTTCACATTTCTAGGAGCTAACATTTGTTTTATTGATTCCACCTTATTTTGACAGACTTCTATGCCATTGTTACTCAGAATATGACCCATATAATTGACTGATCTGACACCAAACTTACATTTACTTTTGTTAAATTTCAAGTTATTTTCTTTAGCAATTTTCAGAACTGATTCTAATTTTTTATTGTGCTCCTCAAGGTTCTTCCCCCAAATCAAAATATAATCTATATATATGCCAATTCCTTGAACACTATCAAACAGTTGTCTAATATGTTTTTGAAAAACTTCTTAAGCTGATGTCAAACCAAAAGGCAGTCTCATGAATTTGTAACGTCCAAATGGGGTATTAAATGTACCTAAATTGCTGCTATATTCATCTAGTTTTATCTGCCAGAAGCCATTAGAACAATCAATTAAATAAAAATAGTTTGCATTTTTAATCTCACCCAAAATGTCATCAAAAGATGGGATGTAGTAGTGTTCTCTTTTGACTGAATTGTTCAAATCTTTTGGATCTATGCAAATTCTAATATCTAGGTTAGGTTTTGTTGCGAAGACTAGGGAATTTACCCAATCTGTTGGTTCTGTGACCTGCCTTATGATATCCATCTGCTCCAGGTTGTCCAGTTTATCTTTGAGTTTGTAATGAAGTGCAAATGGAACCTTTCTTTGGGGATGGACCTTTGGTATGGCATCATCACAGATTCGATCAATTCATTGTATTGAATATTAAGTTTTCTGAAGATATACAGTGGTAGTATGTTACGCTGTGCACCAGTGTCTAGTTTGAAAGGAACTTTTATTTTATCATTAACAAGAAAAGTTTCTATCTAGTCTTTATTACTATTGGAATTTTCAATGTTGCCTAGAAAAACATAATTTTTTGTTGATTCATCACTATAATCATCACTATCATAATCATCACAGTATTCGTTGACAGTACTGAGATGTTTAAATCTGCACATTTTTGAGAAATGGTTTATGTTTTTACAGTTTTCACAAATTTTGCCAAATGCTGGAAAATTTCTATAATTATGTGATGAACCACATTTTTTACATTTGTAATTACTGCTGTGAGTTTTATTTCTAAATTGAGAATTAAAATGGTTGGTACTCATCTTTTTAGTATGTACATCTTTTGCTGCTGAATGGGCTTCTGGATGAGGTTGGTTCTGGTAGATGCCTGAGTGGTACTCTCTGCTTGAACTGGGTGTATTTTGTTGTATGTGTCTCTGTTTATGTTGAAATATTCTGTCCACTTCTGTTGGAGCTTGTGCTGCCTCACTGCTTCCTTGTATTGTCTTCTTCTGTATTTCAGTCCTTTTTGCAGCTCTACAGGTGTCTATTGCTTTCTGCAGGTTCATGTCTGAATCTCGTAGCAAGATGTTTTTTAGGCTAGCATCTTTAATTCCCAGTATCAATCGATCTCGGAGCAAACTGTTTTCTAGTTCTTTGAATTCACATGTAGCTGCAAGGAGTTTCAGAGCTGTTAAGTAGCTGTCATACGATTCATCTTCACGTTTGTCCCTTGTGAAGAAAATGTGCCTTTCAAATGTCACATTTTTTGTAGGAGGGTGGTTGCCCCGAAAATGAGTAATTATGTCAACAGAATTGTTCCATTGTCAAAATAGTGCAAATAGGTTGTCAATCTAAACTATTAGCTTCATATCCATAACAATAAATTCATACAAATGAGAACCTCTTCCAAAAGGGTATAATTTCCATTATTTTGTATATTTTTAGAAAATTCTCTCCACGGGAATGATATTGGGCTTCACGGAAATGACAGATAGTGACATGGGAATGACAATAGTGAATTCCTAGTGTAATACTTGTTGAAATAAATTTAAGAAATGTATAAATAATTCAACACAAGCTAAAGGCATTCTGAAAAATAAAATTTTGTGCTGAAGAATGAATTAACCTTGACATTCTCAGGTAATTCAGGACATTAGAAATTCTCAGTGGCTAAGATTCAACCATGTTGAAATAATATTATGTTGACTAAATTGAAAAATTTATAAAAAACTTCGTTTCCTCGTGAAACGAGAATTAGGTAGTATTTGCAAAATTAATGTTTCATTATTATAACATATCATTTCGTCAAATTTGAAAATCTGCTCTTTTTTAATCATCACATAATTTTTAGAACATGACTTCCACTTCCCTATCATGGCACACGGAGACATTCTTGTATTCAGACTTGGCTGTAGTCTTCTTGGGATATGAAATGAGACAGTAAGAAGGCCAGTTTTATCAGACTTCGATTAATAGATCTAGACCAGGAATATTCTTCCAATAGAGTTATTATTGTTACTGTCTCCTATCACGTGGCTTCTTGGCAAGCCACAGAAGAGTTCTCTTCAGATACTCTTGAACGCAGATGCCTATAGCTATTTCTGGTTCGGCGATGAACGGGGTAGTTTCAAGAGCCCATACAGCATGCTCATGCACTCTTTTCATTTCAGAGTCGAAGGGAATTTTTCATTGAATGGTCGTAGTGGTCGTAGAAGGTTTTCTTGGCGAGATAGGCGCTAGGCGTGTAAGTCAAGAATGACAAAATAAGTTTTGAATTGATAGATAAACGCTCCAAAAATCAATGAAATTTAGTATGAATCACATTGAATGTAGTACTTAAGTACATAAGAGCGATCGAATGGATATTATTATCTTGCAGATCCGCCCTTGTGTTAATGTCTGATTTTGCAGAGAAAACATGGGTGACGATGAAAAGTAATAACTGTTGAATCTTTTCTCACAGTGTCTCAGTGTCATATCGACAATAGTTTTCTTTATACCTTTTCTTCTCTCAAAAATGTTTCCCTTTCCTTTAGCCTCTGTTCTTTTCTCTTGACAGGATCACATCGTATCTTCCTTCTCATCTTCTTTTCCAATTTTCTCTTTTTTTGTATCTAGGAGACATCAGAATTTTCTGCTATAAAGATATTCAGTATAAAACCGTATAAAACTTCATAGTGGGCAGTGAATAATCATTCCCGTGAATACTAAATCATTTCCGTGACACTAAAAAACATGGGAATGATATTTTGTCTGTTAAATTGGAATTTTAATATTTATTCGACTGAATTCAGATGAAATCAATTCCACAATTGATTAATGGGTTTGGAGCAGGGCCTACTATATCTC